AAGACAGAAACACTAAATCTATTGGAAGAGAAGTAGGTCAAAACCTTGAAGATTTAGGGGTAGGCAGAGAGTTCATGAACAAAAACCGAATTGCAGGTGAAACACTTCAAAGAATCAACAACTGGGATCTCATCCTACTGAAAAGTTTCTGCACATCTAAAGAAATCACTGGTAGAGTGAAAAGAAAACCCACAAACTGGGAAAAAATTTTAGCTGATTGTCCCTCAGACAAAAGACTTCTATCAGGACATGTAAAGAATTAAAAAAATTCAGAACCCCCCAAATTCAAAGACCCATCCAAAAATGGCAGCTGAGATGAATACACACTTCTCAGAAAATGAAAAAGAAATAGCAAATAGACACATGAGAAAATATTCAACATCATTAGTCATTCGAGAAATGCAAATTAAAACAATATTGAGATTCCACCTTACCCCAGTATGAATGGCTAGCATTAAGAAATCAACCAATATCAAAAGCTGGCGAGGCTGTGGAGAAATAGGAACTCTTCTCCACTGTTGGTTGGAATACAGACTGGTGAAACCACCGTGGAAATCAGTTCGGAGATTCCTCAGCAAACTAGGACTAGAGGTCCCTTTCAAGCCAGCTAGTTCCCTTCTGGGTATTTTCCCAGAAGATCTAAAGACATATCACAGCAATATATGTGCACCTATGTTCACAGCAGCACAATTTATAATTGCTAAATTGTGGAAGCAACCCAAATGTCTATCCAACAGGGTTGGATCAGAAAATTGTGGTACTTTTTTTTTTTTTGGTTTTTCTCCGGTACCAGGAACCGAACTCACGACCTTGCGCTTGCCAGGCAGGCGCTTTGCCGCTGAGCTAAATCCCCAGCCCCGTGGTACTTTTATATAATGGAATATTACTCAGCTATAAAGAAAGATAAACTCAAGGTCTTTACAGGTAAATGGTCAGAAGTAGAGACCATACTCATAAGTGAAATAACTCAGACCTGCAAGTGCGAGCACTGCATTGTGTCACTAGTGTAAAACCTGAAAGAGTTAATGAAAACTTGGAGGTATGATAGACATTGTGAAATGAAAGGAAAATGCTCAAGGGTAAAGGGCAACTGGGATATGGGAAAAGAGAATGGAAAGAAGGAGAAATTTTGTATCTATGTATGTACAGGATAGTTAACATAGTTGATCTACTATCTTCTATTTCTTTGCTGAAAGAAACTGTTAATGAGTCCTTGATTGATCAATATTGCATGTCTCTGTTTTCATGAGAAACCACTTTTAAGATATCAACATGTAGTACCATAAGCATTGTTAATTTCCTACCACTTTGTTTGCAACTCTGTATTGTTTGTATTGTTCTTTTGCTATTTTGTAAAAGGTTGTCTGTCTGTTAATGTTTTCCTCTTTTATTTTTTTTAAAAAAGAGGGAATTAGTGACCATAGAGAAAGCGGCTCCTGTGAAGCATTAGGGAAGGAAACTTATGCTCAGTAGGGGTTGGCATACTAATGCAAATGTAGAAAAATAATTTTAAACTTTTAAGGGGAGGAGAGAAAGGACAGAATTTGAGATTAAAGTAGAATTTAGTTAGAATTTATGTGCTTGGTATTGTTTGTACATAAAGGAAGAGCTAATAGTGTCTAGGTCTGGTAGAAAGAAACCAAAAGAAGCAGTCAGACTTCAATGGTGTGTGTGTGTGTGTGTGTGTGTGTGTGTGTGTGTGTGTGTGTGTGTGTTGGGAGAAAGCTTTCTTAAGAAAAAGGCACAAAGCCACAGGGGATACAAATATATGAAAAAACATAGATATGAAGGTTAAAAAGAATAGAAATTTTTATTTTTGATCACTTAAATTTACTCTGTAAATAGATCTGTTAATCTTTTGAAAACAAAAGCATGTTTAGAAAGTACAAAGATGGAGACAAGAGGAAACTGAAGCATAGGTTTATCTCCTGCCCCAGTCAACAGTGTAGAGAAATAACCTGACACGTGGTCCTTCTAAAAAGAAACAGAAATGCTTTTGTGATTGACAAATCCAGGCACAGGAAGCTCCTAGTTTTTGCAATATAGTGCTTTCCGCAAATCTGAATGTAAAAATTTTGCAAGTCAGGATAGTTGTAATTAATTCTTTTGCACATGGTGGGGTTTGTACGATGAAAGAAAAAGTGAGTAGACATGAGAATAGAACGGCATTAACCTCATCCAACCTGGAGCTTTAAACACCACAGTGAGGCAATGATCTGAAGCAGTGTTAGAGAACCTGAGGGAAGCAAGTTCATTTTCTATCCATTTCTATTCCTCTCTCTAGTCGTAGGGGTGTCAGAAAAGAGCAAACTTAAATGAAAGGGGGTATTATTTGGGTTTATCCAGAGAAACATAATCCATAGTGTGTGTGTTTTATTGTAAGGAGTTGCCTTGTGTAAAAATGGAGGCTAAGAATTACTAAAATCGGTTGCTAAAATGATGATCCAAGAGATGATGGCATAGTTACAATCTGAACGAGAGGACTGATGACTCAGCTAACCATCAGCAGGAAAAAGGCAATTATCCTTTACTTAGACTATTTCACTCTGGTCATCGCTTCTGTGGAGCAAAAGACTCCCACCCACACTGGGGAGGACATTCTTATTTACTCCATCTATCAATACAAATAATCTTCTCATCCAGAAAGACCTTCACTCAGAGGCACTCAGAATGCTGTTTAAACAAATATGGACACTGAGTGGCTCAGTCAAGTTAACACTTAAAATTTTACTATCAGAGAAGTGAGCAAAATAAACTGTGCCTTTAGGGAAAACCAGTATTTCATTAAAGAAAATAGGTTAATGAAGATTCCAGAGAAATACTGAGGATGCATGGGCACTTTCGCATTATTTTCCTAAATTTTGGAGTGCAAAGATACGTTTTTCTGGCAAATATGAGGAGCAATTTTAGTTAGCCTTTGGAAATTAAGGGAATTTGAGTCCTCACAGTTACGGAGAAACACCATAAAGGACAAGACGGAAGCCCGAAGAGGTGGTTGTAAGACAGAAATACAGGTCAGGTGAGCCACACAAAAGTGTGTGAATTCTGCTTTCTGAGTAACTAATTTAAAGACAATAATATGCAATGTATTAACCATTGTTACCCTCCCATTGTCTTGTTTTGAAATTTTATTTTTTCTCTTTAAAATAAAAAAAAATGAAACCAACATAAGAGGGGAAGCCATATCACCAAAATGAACTGGTGCACAATTGGTAAAATTATCATGGTCCCTGTGAGTACAGAGAACCCTAAAAAGAACATTAGATTTCTTCAGCTATATAAGACCAAGATTCAAACTAAATTAAGCTATATGTGCTTTGTTTGGGCAAATTTCCCATCTACTCTCAAAGCTGAGTGCTTCTCTTTCTTAGATATAATATGTACGTGATACAAACAAAATGTATATCTAAAGAGAGGATGCTTTATGTTTTCTCTGTGTGAGGCACATAGACTTCTAGCAAAAGTTTCAGTGGTTTCATATCAAAGAAATCTGAATTTATTTCTTTGAGATACACTTTGTTATGACTTTCATAAAATTTTTATCATGGAAACTATCTTCTACTGTTGAGAAGTACACTAGGATTTTTTTTCAGTAAGCATTTGTAGAGCATTGGGTGCCAATGCAGCATTTCCCATTGTCACACTGATATAAGATTTTTAAAAATTGCTCTTGTCCTTGAAGAGAAAACAGCTTTTTGGAGAGTTAAGCAAAATTATATTTATATGATTGAGAGCAGTTAGTATTAAAGTCAATGTGCTTGTTGTGAATAAGGATTTGTCAGCCTAGACAATAAGATTCCAAGAGAAACCATGAAAGTTTCTGAAAAAACTATTAAGATTTTTAGTAAGAGAAATTGCATATTACTTACAATTTATTGCTGTAGCAAATTACTGCAAAGTTTAATAAAACACAAATTTTGTAATAGTTCTGGAACCAGGAATTCAAAATGTTTCTTCACGTAGGCTGAATGAAGAGTCTGTGTTGCTCATCTGCGTAGCCTTAGGGCCAAACACAAGGCTGACACTCTATAAATTTTCGGTAATTGGCTCTCCTCACCACTTGTATATTGATGTATACATCTCCTTTCAAATCCTAATAATATTTTATAAGATATACATGGAGAGACAACTTTAAAATTTTTATGATGTAAATGAGGTGATTTATGACCAATGCCAAGGTATTTATCCTTCCTGAACCTCAATTTTTACATTAGTGAAGTACCAATAAACTAATAAATAATTCACCCATTATTGGGTGGTTTACAAGAAGTTCTATAGTCTAACACATGTGCAGCAGCTGTCCCAGGGGAACACTCTCAAATGCTAACTAACTTAATGAATTTGTGAGTATGTGCAGCCATCTTCTATTTGTTAGTTTGCACAGCACATGCACAATGACTTTTCTGGCTTGGATTTGTCGTGTGAGTTAAGCATTCACTCCTGAACTATAGCCTTAACCCAACACACCACTATCTCTGCTGCAGTTTAGCAGTCTGGGTAGGCTCAGCTGAGTCATCTGCTTAGGATCTGAAAAGGCTGAAATCAGACTGTTAACCCAGTGGTGCTATTATTTGGAGGCTCTGGGAAAGAAAGAATTCACTTCAAAGGTCATGCAGCTGTTGCTTTGGCCCTTGTGGTTGCTAGTCAAGGGACCCTCTTTCCTTGCTGATGAACCAGAGCCTCGTCTTGGCTTCTAATGGCTGCCCTCATTCTTTTCCATCTGAACCACTCCAGACAAGCTGGAATACTTTCTTGTCCTTCTAATTTTTCTTAGTTTCTCTTCTAGTATCAGCCAGAGGAAACTGGACTGGGGTCTATAAGATTTAGATGAGATCAGTTCTACACAGACGATCTCATTTTCTTGTGGTCAACAGCGGCACTTATAAAATAACAGTCATGAAAGTGACATCTCAACGTATTCATAAGCCCTTTGGACTAGCATGGGAAATCTTGGGAGCCAGTTTGATAATTTCAATTCCAAGTCTAAATTTATCATTTAGGTTCCATGCTAGCAGACTGTGAGAGAAACTCTCCACAGACCTGGAATACAAAAAGACCCACGCTTCTCTCTGCACTGGATCACATTGTCGAGGACTACAGGTATCCTGTAGGAAGTAAGGTCCATCTTCACACAGTAGCCAGTGCTAGAAGCAGAAGATTCTGAATTCCCCCACGAACCAGGTAATCTGGAGGAGAATCTGGACGGCCTAACTGACATGTTTTCAACCTGGGGGACACTGCGACCTTGTGAGACTCAGTTGTCTCACACTCCTGATCCATGGACACTGTGAGATCGTAAGTATGTTTTGCAACTGATTTTGCAGTGGCAAGCAGGGACACTGAAACAGCACCCAGGATTTGGTGGCAGATTTATATATGTTGATGGGCACTGATGAAGATCATTCCCGAAATATCTGCCCTGATCTATGGTGGTCTAGGGCTTGTATGGGACAAGCAAGCAGGAAATACAGAGGCAGAACGGCTTGTCAGTGGCATATTGGTTTATACAGTGTGGATCATAGAGACCAAGTATACATCACAGTGAGCAGCTGTTTGTAAGATACCAGAAGCAACTGGAACAGGAACTATTATCTGGGCAACAAAGAAACTGAAGTGTACTGGCTGAGAGGTGCATTTTCTGTTGCATTTGTGCTAACTTATTACTGAGCAGTAGAAAACTAACAGATGGCACTAGCCAGTAGAGGTCCTAACTGAGCAAGTATGGGGTCAAAATCAGAAGTTTGCAGTTTAATAAATAAAGGTGGATTTGGTGTTGGTAGTTTCTTGATTAGTTTGAGAAATACTGAATTTATTTCCCACACTTCACTTTTCATTAAGATGCAGGAGAAGCTAATCATGGTGCTTTTGTGCCTGGGAGAACTGCATGTATCCAGAGTTTTTACTCCTTCATTTCCTCCAGGCCATCATTACTCCGTGAAAGTAGCTTAAAGTCCCTAATGACCTGAGAAAGACCCCAGAGCAAGAGAATCTACAAAATCCATGGCAATCAAGACATAAAACAGCTTGTTTCTTCCAAAGATTGGGTAATTCAATCATCTTCCAGAAGGCCACCAGCAGGGGAATGATAGAATGACATATTTGCTGTTCATGGAAGAAAAAAAATGTAATTGGAAAGGAATAAGACAAGATGTTCACAGATAAAGGAGAAAATATCAGCTGGTTTTAAAAATTGTGTGCTACTTTACTCATATGCCAGCAACAAATCTCTTTCATCTCCACAGTTGAAGCTTGCTTAGAGTTAAACCTGCAAAGTTTTTGCATTCAACAGGACAGTGAATGTTTATTTATTTTTTAATGCCTAGAGATGGATCTATAATCTATAAAGGTTGGTCACTTTAGCAGAACGAGGAGCTGTTTATCACTTCACAAACCTAATAACTGATTTCCTGAGAAACAGTACTGAGCACGGGGCCTGCAATTATAACTCCAGCACATACATTCTGGCATTTAGGGACAAATTCGATTTTGTGATTAGCAAGCAAACTCCATAGTCTGTGCTTATTGGACTATATATTTTTGAAGTGGTTTTGGTGCTTTGGTCTGTAAAGTCCTTTACAGGCTGTATTAATCACAATTTCTTACCCAAAGTATATTTTTGACATCACTGAAGGATCAATATAGGTAATTTTACATTGAGTATAATGCTTAGTGCAATGTTTATACTCAATCTGTTAAATCATTGTAGTTTTGAGTAAGGAGGATGGAATACCAACTTTAAATATGTCTTTAAATGTATATAGGAGAGACTTCCTGTTTGTCAGTAATGTAGCTTGAGGTTGGAACCTAATATTGAGGTGTTCATTTAAAAACCGAAGTTTCATAGTTGATGAATGGTAAGGAAAACCTTGAGGTCAAGTCAGGGCTTTAAAGTAAGGGAATAGAAGAGAATGAGACTGATTAAAAATAACATTATTCTAAAAATAATTGAAAATTTTTTATTGAAACTGATATGTATTATTTGTACTGTTCATTGATTGGTGTTTTAGGATTTGTGGGGCAAGACTGTATAAGCCTCACCTGGGACACAAAGCTCTCTCTGCTCTCTAGGAATTGGTGAACTGAAGCTTGGGCCCAATCCAGGCTGCCACTTGTTTTGGTACAGCCTTGCATCTGGGAATGGTTTTTCACTAAAGGATTAGAGCTGAATATGCACCAGAAACTCCATGTGACCTGCTAAATCTAAAGTGTGGCCCATTACAGAAAAAGTGGTTTGCTGAGCTCTGCTCTAGTAATAAGTAGTGCAATTTATTGAGAACCATGTGGCTGAGAAATTTAGAAAGATTCCTCTTTATTTAGACTGCTCTCAGAGTTTCAATAGCAAAGAATCACAAACTAGGTGGTTTAAAAAGCGGAAGTTTATCATTTCACAGTTCTGGATGCTAAAAGTCAGAAATCAAGATGTCAGCATTATTATGGATTTTTTTATTTTAAAGAGAAAAACAGCTGCAAAATTTCAAAACAAGACAATAGGAAGGTAATAATGGTAATACACTGCATATTATTATCTTTAAATTAGTTACTGAGATGACAGGATATAGACATTCAGCATTGTGGGTTTTGAGGAACATAAAAGTAGTGTCTTGTCAAGGCCTGTCTCCTCAGCTCAGGGATGATTCCACCCTCCGCGCTCCTCCAGGTTCCTTCACTTTGTGTGCTTGTCTACCTGCGTGCTTTCTATTTTGTAAAGATACCAGTCATCCTGGGTCCTCATGTGCCTCATTTTCACTTGATTACCTCTGTACGATCTTTTCTCCAAATAGTGTTACATTTTGGGGTATTAAAGGATTAGGAATCCAAGGTTTGAATTTTGGAGAGATATAATTCAAGGTACAACAGAATTCTCTAGTATCTTCCTCATTAGTCAAGTTAAATCTTGACTTGAAATATACATAAATGCATTATGTGACTTGCCCAGTATCAAATGGGATAGGATGGGAATCCAACTTTTCTTTCCTAAGTCAATTTATACTTTCTTTTCTCCTCACTTGCTTTCCAGAATAAAATAGTAGCCGTACTGCATAGTATTCACTCAGTTACACAGTCCCACAGGTGTGTATGTCATATGCTTGTGCTACACCATGAATATTTGATAAGTACTTAATCCTAAGAAGAACTTAACACTATAAAATGACAGTGTCCTTCCCTAAAAGGGGAGATAAAATGTTTGGGTAAATATGTGTAATAGAAGGTAAAATGTGGTGAACAACATAGCATATTGTGACTTACTCAAAGACAAAGACATTTAATTCTTCATAAGCACTGTTTTAATTCAAGTGACCTCCACCCTACATTATATGTCACTTCAAAATTCTGTTAAAATGGGAACATTTTTTTTCCCACTGTGAAATCAGAATAGTAAAAGTCATGAGTGGCTCAGATCCCTTTGTTTGGACATCATTTCTTCATAAAACTTGATAGGCTCCTCTAATTTGAAACTTAAAATATAACAGAGAAAAAACCCTTTTGTAATAAGTGAATATATTTCATGCAGTGAAACAGCATAATAATAAATATTTTTTAACATAGAAAAATTAATATACACTGAAATTTGGGTAATAACCTCTTCTCCTTACAATACTTAGGGAAGTCTGAAGTCACCATGCAGCCTGATTCAAAGAGACAATTTTAGGTTTTCACCGTGGTTTTTTTTTTTTGGTTTGCTTTACTTTTACTTGTTTTATTTGTTTGCTGCTACTGTTTCATTCTGACCTTCTAGTTCTGAGTCACTGAGATCTCTTTATCTCTGATACTACTAATTCATGCTCTAGTCTTTCACATGTTTTCTTCTTTCCAGCTTCTTAATATCAACATCAATGAATTCAAAGCATCTTTGTAAATCATTTTTAAAGGTTTACGCTATTTATAATCTCATCTGAATTCATCTAAGCAGGTTTGCTTTTATCTAAAACGTCAGGTCTAGAAAGTGCTGGCTTGTGAGCTCCTGCCTCTTTTCTTTCCTCTGACATAAGGACTTCCCTCCCACTGAGCTAAGTATGCTCTATGGTAGGAAGGTTTTTATAGTTCTCAATTTGGGCAAGAGGAGAACAGCTTCCAAGTTAAAACTTAACTGTGAAAGCCTCTTTCACTGCACAGATGCCATTGATCTAATTATATTTGCTGTGATAAAATATTGAACGTCTTCCGTAGCCACTACTTCTTAGAGTTTTATTGTTTAACTACAGTCTGCTTACTTTTTGAAACATGCGACTGTAATATATAAATTCGTCATATATTAGAGTGCATTTAGAAATAGAGGCCAAAGAAGAACCATATTTGAAATAATTGTTCTAAGCTGGCCAGCCTTCTTGCTGCTGTATGGCTTAGACAGGGTAGTAAATATCAGGCTTTCTCTGAGTAGGCTGGCAGAGTAACAGGTGTCTAAGCAATGTAAGCAAAATACTTACAATGAATAATGTTATTTGGATCACATATGGTGTTCGTCCATACCATTCTAAGAAATGTCAGAAGTCCATGTTACTGTTTAGGTTTAAGATTTTCTTTTCTGTCCGAGAAAATACTTTTTTCTACATGTAGATAAGTATTTTATTTATGGTTCCTCCTCTCTTCCAACTCAATAAAATGTTAAATTAACCTGAATAGTGAGGTATAATCTACACGATTCTGGCCATCACCTGGTAATAACCAACTAGGGCTTATTTTCCTGTCAGGTCTTATTTTCAGGGAAACAAAGCAGAATTCTCAAATTCAAATGGAGTATTTTTTTCCTGGTATGAGGGTTAATCTGATACTGTGACTGTCTACAATTCAGAAGTAGATGAGAGGTACCGCGTCTTTCTATGTCTAGGTGTATAAATTGGTAGCAGATAAATGTATCTCTCTTTAAACACTGATGGTGTTCCATAAATGCACCCTAAGTATTAAATTTGTACCATGTTATGAGCCCCAGAGATTTGCATTTTAAACAGGATTTCTAGAGGTTTTCTTTCAGGTAGTATTTCTTTTGACAGACCAAGTATAGGTGGTAAAATATTTAGTGTTTTCTGATATACTGCTTATATAAAAAGGAATTATTTTTCTGTAAAGAATTCAAATAGAAAAGTAACTAAAAATCATTTTAAAATAGCCTTGCACTTATCCTACTTATCCCATCATATTACATAACATACAAAAA